GTGCAGGCTCGCGCCCAGCGCCGGCAGCGGCACCGCGTCCCCCGGGATCAACAGCAGCGGCGGCGGCGCCGCGCCCGCCGCCACCACCTGCTGCTGCACGCCGCCGCTGCCGCCGCCGCTGCTGCCGCCGCCAAGCGCGAGCGCCGCGCGGCCCCAGTTGGTGCCTGCGAGCTGCGCCAATGTGGCGCGCGTCCGCGGCTCCGGGCGCAACCCCCAGTGCAAAAACGCCTGCAGATCTTCCGGCAGCAGGTCCCATCCCTCTGCCCGCTCGAAGCACCAGGGGTCCTCGATTATGTTCCTGGCCATGTGGGGGCTCCAGGAGCAGCCGGGCACGTGGGGGTAGGGCGCGGGCGCCGCGGCCTGCTGGGGGGTGGGCAGGTAGGGATTGCTGCCGCCGAGGGCGATGACGGCCAGGGTCATGCAGAGCGTCCAGGTGTCGAAGGCCTCGCCAAAGGTGGCCTCGACCTCGAACTGGCCGGATGCCATGCGCTTCTGGGCCTCGGGGGCCTGCGGGTTGGGGAGGCACGGGTTGCGCGGGGTTTTAGCAGGGATGGCGTCTGCACAAAGCGGTGATGATGCATTTGGGGTGTGCACAGCACAGCGCAGCACGGCACAGCACGGCACGGCACAGCACAGCGCAGCACAGCACAGCACAGCACAGCACAGCACAGCACAGCACAGCACAGCACAGCACAGCACAGCACGTTGACTTCTGAGCAAACCCACAACGCGGTCAGACATCCGCCGCCTTCACACCACCCACGCACACCGCCCCCAAGGCCCCCGCCGCTCACGCTGTAGCGCCACGTGTTGCCCAGCCGCTTCATGTCCCCGATTTGCGTCACCGCCCCAAAGTCCACCATCATAACCGCCGGGCCCCCGGCCGCCGCGGCGCCGGGATTGTGCAGCAGCTGCTCAGGCTTCAGGTCGTTGTATGAGTAGCCGCAGGCGTGCAGCTTAGTCAGGACCTCGAGCATCGTCTTGGTGGCTGCTGCGGCAAGTGAGAGGTTCGCCTTGACAGCATCTGGCGTGAAGCTGGGCTGGATCGCGTCGAGCAGGGGGACGCCTGTACAGTGGGCGGGCGAGATGTGTTTTGTGTGTTTTTGTGTGTGTGTGTGTGTGTGTGTGTGTGTGTGTGTGTGTGTGTGGTGTGTGGGGGGGGACTGAGGGGTCGAACGTTGGGAGCAAGGGTGGGTTGCCAAGTGCGCTGCGCGCGGGGCCGCGGGAGGTGAGGTCGGGTCTGTACACCAGAGCTGGCTCTTGGCGGCTTCTACCGCCCGGCGGACCACCTCGCGGCCCTCGGCCTCCTACCTGCTGACAGGCAGGTTGCGCTCCCAGCCGCTGCGCCCCGCCCTTGCCACCCCAAGACCCCCCACGCTGCTGCCCTGAAGTCCATCGCATGCCCACATAACCGCTACCTCCTGTCTGACCACCTCCCCCCACTCCCCTGCCATTGCTGCGCCCAGGCGCACCGCCGTACTCAAACACCAGGTGCACCCAGCGGTTATCGCTGTCCACAAACACGTCCCGCAGCGGCGGCACCGCTGGATGCGCAAACCAGCGGTGCAGGGTTATCTCCGCGTCCACCTGTGGGTCGGCGTATGTTCGACGAGGGGGGTTGGGCAGGGGAGGGCGGCGACCACGCTAGGCGATGTCGTCTAGGCGTCAGGTGTGCGCGGAACAGGCGCCCAGGGGTGCCAACGCCAGCTGGGAAGCGCTCTGCCGCCGACGTGGGCGGCGCTGCGCAGCGAGTGGCGAGCGGCTGGCTGCGGGGCGACACGCACGCACGCACGCACGCATGCACGCACGCACGCACACACGCACGCACGCACGCACGCACGCACGCGCGCGCGCGCGTGCACGCACCCACGCACGCACGCACGCACAAACACACACACACACACACACACACACACACACACACACACACACACAGAATCAACAGCTGCAACTGGCTGCATCGCACACCGAGCCGCAGTTGGTAGTCGCGTAATCAAGGTCGAACGTCTTGACTGCATACTCGCTGCGTCCGAGGGCGTTGCGCGTGACTCGGAGCGTCGGCCGTGCCAGCGCGCCCGGTGGCCCGCGCGAGCAGATAATCTGGCCTTTCACATACCAACGGCTGCGAAAAATCAAGGGAGGGGGCGGGGGGGGTGGGGCCGCAGCGTGACTGCAGGAGGGTGACGCGGGCAGCAGGTGGCACCTGCTTGGAGGCTGGCGGCAGACGCGCCGCGCGAGGAGGTTTTGACGAGCCAGCTCGGCGGAAACTCAAATAAATATGTTTGCCGGCCCTTTGCGTTGCTCACGGAGACTGCCGCGGTATTGCCGAATGGCCCCTGAACGGGTAGGGCCTCCACTCCGACTCTGCCATCGTCGTGTCGTGATGTGCTCAATGCAATCTTGCTATGCCGATTTTTACAGATTTACAATGTGCACTTGCAGGCCTCGCATCGCGATTATGGCGGGAGCTCGTCTTGGCAAAACCACCCACCTGCACACCTGCCAAACGGATGCTGCAAGGACCCCCTTCGTCTTGCTTACTACCGGGTGTTGCAGGACCTGCAAAAACGCACAAATCCAAAGGAACACACGGCTTGTTACAAAACTCGGCATACTTCTTCCCTCCAAGCTGCCAACCCTGTGCAAGGCACACTACAAGCACACCACAGGCCTCACTGCACGGCCTGCCGCAGCACGGCCAGCGCCGACGCCCCCTGTGTGTCCCGACCAAAGGCGCCCGCCCCCACAACCACCATGCCGCCGCCGACGCCGCGCTTCTGCCGCTTGCGCTCGTTGTTGCTCATAAGCAGCCTGGAGAGGTCTGGGCCCGCCGCGTTGAGGGATTTGGAAGCCTTTCCAGCGCCACCGCTGCCCTTGCCAGCGGCCTGCTGCTGCTGCTTGTGCTGCTGCGCCGCCGCCGCCGCGCCGCCCTGCTGCCGCCGCTTCTTGCCGCCGCCCTGCCCCTGCGTCTGCCCCTGCTCGCTGCCGCCTGCGTCGTCGCCGCGGCGGCTGGAGTGCAGCCGCGACGCGAGGCGCAGCGTCTGGGCAATCGCGTCGGCCGGCAGCACAGCGTGGGCCCCGCCCTCCTCCCCCACGCCGCCCTTGGTCCCCGCCGCCGCCGCCGCCGCCGCCGCCTTGGCCGCGAGCGCGGACGCGCCCCCTGTGAAGTATTTAGTGCTCACCCGCGCCTGCAGCGGCTCCGCGAGCGCCGCCGCGAGCTGCGCGCGCAGCGCCGCCAGCCGGGCTGCCTCCTGCTCGCCCATCCCCGCCGCGGCGGCCGGCGCCGCGCCGGGGGCGCGCCGCTTCCGCTTGGTCTTGCCGCCCGCCGCCGGGCCGCCGGCGGCGGCGGGGGGCTCGCCGTCGGAATCGGGGACGTCCAAGTCTGAGAGGTCGAGGCCGACGGCGTCTGCGTTGTTGCGCGCCCAGGCTGTCTCCGCGCGCTCCTTGCGGTGCTTGCGCTCGATCTGGTCGACCTGTTGATGTGTGAGGTTGGGTGTTGTTGAGTGCGTGTTGTGCAAGGGTCAAGAGTGGTCGAATGTCGTTGCATGGGTTGTTGTGTGTGGTGATGTTTGGCAGCGTGCGTGGATGTGTGTGTGTGTGTGTTTTCTCGTGGTGTGTCATGATTGTGTGTGGTTGTGCAAGTTCGTTCAGGGTGTTGTGTTTTCAGGTGTGTTGGTCGGCATTTGATGCGCTTTCGCACGTGCAGCTGCGTGCCGTGAGCGCACGGGTGTCTGATTTGCAGCTCTAGGGTTGTGCGCGCACCAACACTGCATGCCTGTGTCCAGTCGAGCAACGAGCGCCTCAACACCAAGGAATACAGCAACTTCCTGCCTGCAGCTCTTTGCATCCGTCGCAGCATCGACCGCCGGTGCTTTACGGCCCCCCAGCTGCTCTGAAAACGCCCTCCCCACCGCCCACCCGCGCCCCCAGCCCACCCCCTCTCCCTTCAGTGTCCCACCTTGACCGCAATGGAAACGCGCTGCTCCGCGGCCTTCATCACGGCGCGCTCCACAGGGAACCGCGGCGGCGGCGCCTCAGCGCGCCCCAGCGCGCGCAGCAGCGCCGCCCAGCGCGCCGCCTCGGCGGGGCTGACCTGCGGGGCGGTCGAACAATCACGCGGCCCAGCAAGGTCAGCGGCTGGTGCCAAACTCCAAGCACAAGCAGGCTGTGTGTGTATAGCGCCCCAACCCTGCACCCTCGTTCGTCTCACGGCTCGCAGCCCCATGCCAACCAACTTGCGTCGCCCCAGCTTGCGCCGCCTCGCGCCGCGCGCATCCCGGCACGTGCATGCCGGGCGGGCGGCGAGGCGTCGGCGCCGTGCCCCAGCAGTTGCGGCTGCCAGGCACGAGGGGGAGTGCGGCAGTGCCGAGCGGAGCACCCACCAGCGTCACGGCGACGCCGTCGGCGCCGCCCGTGCGCGCCGTGCGGCCGCAGCGGTGGATGTACGTGTCCGCGCTGGCCGGGACCTGGTAGTGCACCACCGTGTTTACGCCCTTCACGTCCAGGCCTGCAGGGGGGAGGGCGGCGCAAGGGTGCGTGGCGCGCGTTGCGTGTTGGCGCGAGCAGTTAGAGGGTGCTAGAGGGCAGGTGATCGTGCGTGCATGAGAATGCGTGAGCGCATGCGAGTGCGTTGGTGGGAGACGCATGGGGGAACACTGGCATGCGCATGCCTATGAGCATGCGGTTAGGTGCAGCGTCAGGGATGGCGGTTGCATGGAGCTGGGCAGCAGGGGTTGCCGGGGCGGGCGCGCGGCGGCCGCGCCGTGCTGTGGGCAGAGCGGCCTGCTCGCAGGTGTCGGTCGGCGGACAGTGACAGTGCAGCGCTCCAAGGGGGCTGTACGTTTGCGTGCAGTCCCCTTGGGTGTGCGCATGCGCGCGCGCGTGTGTGTGTTTGTGTGTAGTGTGTGTACCATCGGGCTGCTGGCCACGCACCGCGTGCGGCGACGTCAGTGGCGACCAGCACGCCGTTGTCGTTGGCTTTGAAGCGGTCCAGCGCCTATGGGGTGCAGGATCAGTTTTTGCGTGGTGGTATATGGTGAGGAGTGCGTTGAATTGCCCGATTCGAGCAGACGCGATACGTCATGCGTCTCTTGACGCATGGCGTCGCGTCGTCAGTGGCGCGCCATGTGTATTCACTACTGTACAATGTTGGGTGCGCAGCTGGTGCGGGACGCTCGCATGCGGTGCGCGCGCACACCTCATAGGTGACGGCACGTCAATGGGCCAAGCAAACCACTATGATTACGCCCCGAGCCTGCAGCCCCGGTTTGAACGACCCCTGCCAGTGCGCACCTTGAGGCGCTGCCGCTGCTGCTGCTGCGCGTGCAGCGCCTGCGCCGGCAGGCCCAGCAGCTTAAGCACGGCCGCAACGCGGCGCAGGGCGGACACCGCGTTGACAAACACGAGGGCGCGGCCGGGGTGGCGGGCCAGAAGGTAGTACAGCGCCGCCTCGCGCTCGTCCTCTGCGAAAAAATGTTTGTTGAGGGTTGCGTGGGGATTAGAGGAAACAAGACACACGTACACACGCACACACACTTACACCCCCCACACACACACATTCACACACCCATCCACCCACACATGCGCTCACTCGCACGCTCATGTAGACACGTGATAACACAGAGTGTTCGCATCATGCGAAGCACACACCCTGCCTGCCCTCTCACTCAACCTGCCAGCCCCCCAGCAGTGGCACAAACGCCCATGCTTCGTTCCACCCAGCACCCTCACATTCGCACCCACCCAGGCATTCTATGAAAGCCTCCTCAACCCTGTCGGCCAGCTTCCTCTCAGTCGTCAGGTCCACCACAGCAGGCTCTCCCCGGAACGGCACGCGCCCCATCAGCCCCTCCAGCGTCGCGCCGCCGCCCGCCCCGCCGCCGCCGCGCCGCAGGCGCTTGCGCAGCGCATCGGGCAGCGTCAGCGTCGCAGAAAACACCATCGTCTGCAGCGGCGGCGCCCTGCCGCGCCGCCCGCTTCGCGCCCTCTCCTCGCCGCTGCCCGCAACTGCCACCGCTGCTGCTCCGTCGGTCTCCTCGGCCGCCAGCCCCTCTCCTGCGTCGCCTTCGATCAGGGGCGCGTCCGCCCAGCCGTCGGCGACCTCGGCGGCCTCGGGGTCGAGGGGGCGGGGTATGAGGTCCAGGATGTTTGACAGCTCCTGGTAGTGGCCCTGCAGGAGGGGTGGGAAAAAACCACATGGAGAAACGACAAGTCAGCAAGTGCGGGGGTGTGAGGTGGGTGGGGGGATGGCATCAGCGGAGGGCACGGAGGCCGCTGTGATGGGTGCGCAGTTGTTGCTTCAGGTGGCAGATCAGCTACTCAACAGGCAAACAGGGCGCGAGGGCATGGCTCGAGCGCGTCGGTCCAGGGATGCGAATTCTCAGCGGGGTGCATCAGAGAGTGCCGCGCTCCTGCGGCACGCCGGACGGACGCGCCCCGCCGCCAACCCTGCGTCGCAGCCCCTCAACCCCAACCCTAAACTGCCGCCAGCCCGCCAGGGCCGGCCGCTCTGGGCTGAACCGCCAAAAATCCGCCGGCCCCTAAAATTGGTCGCACCTGCTGCACCATCCGGTCTGCCTCGTCGATGACCAGGAACCGCAGCCGCTGCAGCCGCGTCAGGTGCGCGTGGCCCTGGCTGCGGATTAAGATACGCACACACGCGAAAGTCGCAGGTGCGTGGGATGCTGTCGGACGCGGCGGCGGGTTTGGCCGCGCTCCGGACGCGCGCGTGCCACACCGCCGCGGCTCGGCCGGCTGCCTGGCGCGTCAGCCACCCAGCGTCCGCCGGCAGCACACGCCCCGCGCCTGCAAACTCACGGCTGGACGGCGCCCCGCAAGGTGGGGCAGCGCCGCGCAGAGGCGGCAGCTGCGGCGATGACTCACCTCATCAGGTCCCACAGGCGCCCCGGCGTCGCCACCACCACCTCCGGCCGCCTCGACAGCAGCCTCTCCTGCTTGACCGCCGCGATGCCGCCCACGATCGGCGCCACGCCGACGCCCGCGACGCGCGCCAGGGCAGACAGCGCCGCGCACACCTGCAGAGCCAGCTCGCGCGTTGGCGCCAGCACCAGCGCGCGCAGCGCCGCGCCGCCGGCGCCCCCGGCGCCCTCGTCCTCGTCCCCCTCATCCGCCGCGACGGCGCGGGCGTGCCGCTCCTCGCGTTCTTGGAGCAGCAGCTGCAGGATTGGAAGTCCAAAGGCCAGCGTCTTGCCGGACCCCGTCTGCGCTGCCCCGATCAGGTCCCGCATGTCCCTCATGACCCGCGGCACCGCCGCCGCCTGCACCGGCGTCGGCGCCGAGAAGCCCTGCAACGCGAGCGCCCCCTCAAGCAGCGGGTGCAGGCACAGCGGCGCCCACGCGCGCATGTCCGCGGCGGCGGCGGCCGCGAGCGCGTCGGCGCGGAGCTGAGTCAGCGCTGCGCTGCCCGGCCGGGCGCCGGCCGCCGACGAGGGCGCCTCGTCGCCTTCCTCCCCGTCCACCCCTGCATCTCCATCTGCGCCGCCCGCCGCCGCCGCGCCGCCCTCGCGCTTTTGCTGCCGCTTGAGCTTCCGCGCCTCCGACATGCGCCTCAGCTTCTCCTCCGCCTTTTGCTTGCGCTCCAGCTGCCGCCGCTGCTTCCGGCTCAGCTTGCCCTCGGCACCCACGCCGGCGCCCTCGCCGCCGCCATCCTCCGCCCGCTCCTTCGCTGCCGTGCGGCCGCCGGCGCCGGCCGCGTCCCCGCTCGTACCCCCACTGGCCGCGCCGCACCCCTTCTTCTGTTTCTTCAAGGCCTGGTTTTCGGCCTCGAGCGCCGCAAGCCTTGCCCTCAGCGCCCCCACGTCGTCAGCCATGGCGCCCTCGCCCGCCGCCGTGGCCGCGCCGCGCTTGCGCTTGGCTGCCTTGCCACCTGGCGCAACGTCGTCCTCCTCTCGCTGCTGCTGCTGCTGCGGCTGCTGCTGCTTCTTGCCGCTTTTCTTGCTCTTCTTTGCTTCGCTCTGAGGGGTTTCCTCACCGCCCGCGCCAAAGTCCAGCTCGCCTGCAGGCAGCAAGAGTTGCGCTGCGAGATCAGTCAACCTCACGCCTCGCGCACCACAACTGCAGGCCCGCTTGCCAGCACTGCGGCCCCGCGACCTTGTCACGCCTGGACAGCGGGCACCGAGCCGGCGGCGTGCCCGGACAGGTATGTGTATGTGTGTGTGTGCTGTGGCAGCCGTCCGGACCAGAGCGCACCTGGATCTTGGAAGATGGGGGGGTTCTCCAGGATCTCCAGCCCGGCGAAGCCGCCCTCCTCTGCGCCCATCAGCAGCTCATCGCCCACGTCCAGCGCCTTCCAGCCGGACGCAGAAGCGAGGGCTGCCGACGCGCCGCTGCCCTTGCTCTTGCCACCCTTGGTGCCCTTGACGCCTTGGGGAGGCTTCCTGCGGTTGGGCCGTGGTTGGGGTGGCCTGTGGGCGTTGGATTGTTGGCAGCGAGGAGGCAGTGGGCGTGGGGGACGTGCAGTAGTGGCATACTGCCCAGGCGGCGGCGGCCGTCGTCGGGTATCAGGCGCGGCGCAGGGACACCAGGCATCAGGAAGCGTTGCATACTTGGATTTTCTTTCTTGTGACATGACGGCGAGCTGCAACGGCTGCAAATGGCTAGCAACGAAACCAGAGCTCAGCACGCTGGCGGGATCGCTCGTTTTCAAAGAATTTCACATAATCAAACTGCAAGGGCATGTTTGCAGCGCTGCCGCACAGCAGTTAGCATGCACCCACGGTGCAGCAGTCACCCAGTGCCGAAAGTACTTGATGCAAGCGACGGATCCACAGCGTACATATATGAGAAGACATGTCGCTGGTTAACCATTTCCGATCGGAGGTCGTGTACTCGCATCCCTGCGCAATGTATGCGATCTGATCTCCTTGGCCTCGGCTCCCTAGTGGGTAGACATGATCAAAGGGATGGACGCAGCTGCCGATGTTCCCACTGCGGCAGCTGAGAAGGCTGGGCAGCCTTCAGGACCCCCGGACGAGGGCAAAAGGCGCAAGAAATCGCGTTGGGGCAAGGAGACAGAGGCAGGCCTGAAGATCCTGGAGCAGGTACAGCAGCCTGGTGCCTCTGACGCTGTGGCAGGCCCGCCTGCTCCGAGTGACGCGCCTGCAGCTGCACCTCCTGCCGCCGCGCCGCCCCCCGATGCCGCGCCTCCGCACGACGCCCCGGGCGCCGAGCCGCCGCTCAAGCGCCGCCGCAGCAGCCGGTGGGAAGTGGCGGAGGCGCGGCCGGCGCCGGGGGCGGGCGCGGCGGGGGCGGCCGGCCAGATCGTGCTGCCAGAGTCCATCGCCGCGCTGGTCAGCCTCCACGCCGACCCCCATGTCGTCGAGCTGCAGTCCCAGCTCAGGCTGGTGGGTTGCACATTACGTATGAGTTCTGATCACATCACAGTCGCGCGACTGCCGGGACCAGACCCTGCCTTGTGCGGAGGCGGGGTCATGCGCTGGCACGTGCAGTTGTCGGCATCGGGGCAGTACGCGTGCGCTGCTTGGCGGCCGCGCCCGACCTTGTCGCATGCGTGCATGCTGTTGTGCCATGCAAGCGCATGTGCAGCGATGAACTGCGCATGCATGCACATGCATGCATCGATTCTGCATGCACGTCTGCGACTCCGCAGGTGGAACAGAAGCTGCAGCTGGTGCAGCAGGGCAAGTGGGTCGACCCGCGGAACGAGTACGAGCGCTCGCCGTCGCCAGAGCCGGTCTATGGCGAGAGCGGCGCGCGCATCAACACGCGCGAGTGGCGGCAGAAGGAGGCGCTCACCAAGCGGCGCACGGTGCGGCTG